ACTATCTTTCAGTTTCTCAATAGTCCAAGTACTGAATTTTGAATTAGGATCTTGCCTGCAGTCTGCAAGGTGTTTCTCCAAATGATAATTTATTACTGCAGCTAACAAAAACGGACTGGAAGTAACTCCAAACACGACTCTAGCATGCCTAAAAAATTTTAGATTTCTATCTTTATCGTACCACAGGAATTTTAAAACATTTCTATCATCTACATTCACACTTATCTGAAGAAATGCTTTTTTAATATCTGACACGATACCTATTCGGGAAATCCTAAATCTGATCAAAATTGATGGAATGAGCTGAATAAGATTAATTCCCGTCTCTAAACACTGATTCAGTGATGGATAGTTTCTTTCCTTAGCAGACGCATCAAAAACAGGCCTCAACTTGGTTGTGGCACTACTCAACTTGACCACATGTCGATGTGGTAAATAATATCCATCATCGTCAGAGCATCCAGAAATTTCTTCTATTATTCCTTCATTCAACCATTCAGAAAAAACTTCATCATAATTGTCATAATAACCATCAATATCTAATTTTGTCATGAGATTGTCTAAGCGTTTTTTTACAACAAAAAAGTTATTTGATAATGGGGCATGTCCTTCAATCCATGGTAAATTCACCTCATATCGACCTTCATCATTAACTTTAATCGTTTCATGAAATTTTCTCATGACTTCATCTTCATGATTTTTTTCTGATTGTTTCTTACTTGGATCAGAAATACCTAAGATATCTAAATTCCACAGGTGTGAAATATCATTGTTACATAATAGCGAACTAACTAACATTGAACAAGTTTTTGAATTTTCAGGTTCAGAGCTCGAGATTTTACCCATCAATGTCCATCCCAATGAAGTCTCCATCGCTACTAATCCGCTTTGTAATTTACGACGCTCACCAGTAAAAAGTTTTCCTGCAATATCAGCTCCAATCAAAATCTCAATGGGGCCATCTTGGGTATCAGTAACAGAAATACCCATATCAGCTAGTTCAGTTATCCATGGCCCTTCCCTAATTGAAATTATTCTATTGCATATCAGTGGTTGATCGAGAGCATTAAAATTACAAACATAGTTTTCTTCCAAATTTTTCAAAGTCACTCGGTAACAGCTATGATTAATTATTTCCGAACGAGTACCACCAAAGAGAGCATGAATCATTTCTTCAGAATCAATTGCTTCATACCCCATTTCTAGAGCAGTATGTTTGACAATATACGATCTTTGGGACCCTGTATCTATAATAGCCCTCACTAAACGGGTTTTTGAACCATTACTGAGTTTGACAACCAAAGTTTGTAAAAGGATTTCATTGTAGGTGGAATTTGATAAACTTTCAACAGTCACTGAAGATCTGGAAGCATGATCAGTATTAGATTCGATCGAATGTTTTTTGGGACACATTATAGTGGCGTGTCTCTCCTTGCATTCAGAACACGTTATCCTAACAGCGCATTTCCGGGCAATGTGTCCAAACTTCAAACATATATAACATCGACCATTATCAGCCAAGACTTTTTGTTTTTCAACAAGTGATAATTTCTTCATATCAGCATCATTGCAGTCTGGAGTATAATGCGGTTTCTTACAAAAAACACATTTTGGTACTTTCTTATTCTGATTTATCAAGCCCGAAGCAGTAGGAATAACTGAATCATTAAATTGAACGTCTTTCTTTCTAGTTCCAATATCAAATCCAGACATTGCTAAACAAATTTTTTCCTCATTTTCTACTTCCCGTCTTAAAAATAGCATCATACTGTCTAAACGCCCTTTTAAAGTGGATTCTGAATCATAATTTTTGCTACGCTGCCACGCCCGCAGAATGTCTTCCGGTAAACAAGATTCAACTAATGGATATAACATCGCTGAACATTTATCCGAATTGACGCCTAAAGTCTCTAATGATCTTAGCTGGGATTCAAGTTGATCATAAAGTTTACTAAGTTTCACTTTAGAACGTAGATTTGACAAGATTAGCTTCAATAATTCTCGAACGTATACTTCCACTAACAAATCTTCACGTCCGAAACGAGATTTCAGACTCTCAATAACCTTTGGGTAATTATCGCCTATTGGTGGATAGCTGTCGACAAGTTGACGTGCACGAGAGTTGTGAACGGTGGATTGAACAAGATATTGAAATTTATCTTCATTTTCAATAGTTTCATCTTCATGAATCCTTCTGAATTGGCCCCAAAATGGTAACCAATCTCTTATCTCGCCACTAAACTTCTTAAATTCAATTTGGGGTAACTTCAATCTTCTTTTATTCTGACTAGAAGAGTTTTGACTCAATATTTCAGAGAGAGAATCTTTATTCAACCTTCGTTCAATCTTAGCCTTAAGCCTATTATACTTCCCTGCGATTTCATCAGCTCTGGCTACCTCCATATCAACATCATCAGACGGAACATCCTTCTCCAGCATCTCATCAAGCAACTGTTTCTCCAACTCCATCATTATCTCCATCTTCTTCTCCAGGACTCGAAGATTTCCTTGTAAATCAGCAACATCGTTATCTGGGTCCAAAAGCAGCCTCATCGTATCTTCATATAAACGTTCGAATGCAGTTCTGTGAACATCTAACGCTTTCAGCAGTTTCTCCATCTTTGCAGTGTCCTGTCACGGTCGCCAAATGTAATTGCAAATGACTACACCTACCCGGTGTAGAGATATGTATCGGTTTGTAAAGGTACAAAGACGAGTATCAATGAATGATAAGGTGATTTCAATACAAAATAGCTTTACTGAACCAAAAGTATAAAGTTTGACAAATCTATCAAAAATTGCTAATTCATTTTTTTAACATTTCAAAATTGTTTTTGTCATGGTGAATCCTACAGGGCATTTTCTTCTGAATTTTCAACACTTAGGCTTCCCTTTTCGGGCCCATATTGTGCACCCACATTCCTGGGATCGCAAGTCAGCCATGGAGAAGGCCGATCTCGCGAGCAAAAGTGACCAACTTTCTAGGCCAAATCTTTCCTGTGGGCCCAGGATATACTGCCCCCAAAATGGCTATCCCTTGCTGCCACTACTGCCGGGCATTCAGTGAGGAAGTGAGTAGAAGTCTCTTCATCCTTTAGGCACCATCTCCATTCAGGATCCTCCACAATCCCGATCGTGCTGAGATGCTTGTTCAAGTGGCAGTGCCCTGTCAGAAGGCCCACCACCAGTTTCAGCTCCTTTTCCTGTTCAAAGCCAAGAAGGCATTGGTCTGTCTTCGTGACGGGTTTCCTATATTGAGTTTGGACTGCCTCATTCCAGGAGCCTCTCTCCAGCTGTCCTGAAACCTTTCCGTCAGGATTTCCTTCATCCTGAAGTTGCTCCAGGATCGATAGTGAATGAGTCTATATGCGTTGTTCAAAATCGTTGAATTTCAGAACTCAATTCAAACGTACCCGTCATGGCCGACATTTGGCGATACGTCGAATAATTGGTGACGTCACCTTTCATGCTATTTCGTTATTGATAATCTTCCATTTCCACTCATGAAGCAAGGTTGTCAAGTCACCAATTATAATTAATCCTGTCGTTAAAACGGACTTCAGACAATTCCATTGGGAAACCTTTTCCAGATTTTCCCTATCATCTCTCCTTTCCTTATAATATAGAGCTGAGACATCGAGTTTTGCTCACCCTGTACTTACCTCATAATGCCGAATGAAATTTTGTAGGAAAATTTATATTCATTTTGTTTTTTTTTTGATAAATATTCTGAACAGATTTTGAATGAATATAGTTTTCTACGTTTTTTTATTTGATGTTATGAATTGTCGCCAAATTTTCAAAAATTCCGCCTGCGGTGAACTTTCTGCTTCGACTTCTAGCGATTTTGTTCGTATTTTTTGCGACATTTTCATGTACAGCAGCTGGCAACGCTGGTTACGAGCCACAAATTGAAAGTGAATCGGTGTCGCGTCAATTGGACGTGGAAAATTGGACGCTCGACTATTGGTCGCAGTCAATTGGACGCGGCGACAATTGGACGCGGCGACAATTGGACGCGGCGACAATTAGACGCGGCGTCAATTAGACGCGGCGACAATTCGACGCGGCGACAAAACGACGCGGCGACAATTGGACGCATGCGTAAATAAAAATAATTTTATAATTCCAATGAAATTCATTGTATAAAATATGAAATACTGATGGGCTTATATCCATAATTATAACAAATACCTATGGCCTCGTTTGACAACTAATTTCCTATCTCATATCGTAATATGAATTTACGATACGAATATAGTACAATATTTTAGGTTAGTTAGGTTAGGTTAGGTATTTGTTATATTATAGATATGAGCCCTGCATATTCCATGCAATAAATTTCATTGGAATTATAAAATTATTTTTATTTTCACATGCGCTCAATTGATGCCGCGTCCAATTTTCGTCGCGTCCAATTGTCGCCGCGTCCAATTGTCGCCGCGTCCAATTGTCGCCGCGTCCAATTGTCGCCGCGTCCAATTGTCGCCGCGTCCAATTATCCGCGTCCAATTTTCGTGCGTCCAATTGACCACGTCCAATTGTCGGTAATCCAAGTGTATCATATACTGTAACAAGAAATTAACTTAGGTCTACTATACAGAGGGATGAGACCGACACAATTTGAGTCATCCTTTGTATTCTTTTTAAGGTCCCTACTTATTCGTACGTTTGCGATATTCAATAGAAATATAAGTAGGAATAAACTAAAAAAGTATCAAATATTAATTGCAATTCAGATAAGATACATGAATTTCACTTTAATTCATGCAGTTCATGACTATTAATGAGTACTTAGGTGTCCATCAGATAATTTTACACTTAAAATAATTCATAAAAATGTTATAATATTCCAACTGAACATAACAATTATGTATTCCCAAAATTATCACAAACGGTTCTGCTAACAAACTGTAATAGGTAACCGCATAATAATATACCATGTGGTTTTATCGCCTTCCACGTCTGCTGCTATATATGTTATAAAAAGAAGGTACATTATGTTCAAGCAAAGCGGTCAAATTGTGATAGAGTATTTGTGAAGATGCGTGCTGTGATAGTTTTTTGCTGCCTCAACACTGGTGAGTAAAGAAATCAGTATATATAGATATTAAGGCGGAGGAATATATGGCAGATGTGCGAAAAAAAATGTTTTTTTTTATTTAAGCCTGGGTGCAGAATCGTTGAAGTCTATTATCCAGAAGAGAGACATAGAAATATACACTTGGCTTCTCTATCTAAACTTCCCAAGACTACTTTGAAAACTGTCAAAATTTCTGATGACATTGACAAAACAAAAATTATAAGCGCTAGTGTCGATTTAAGTAGTTTTATTTGAATATCCAGCTATACAGGGGTGTACTAAAAGTCGGCGCACTAAGTTTTTTATTTCAAATAGATTTTTTTTCACACTGTTCGATAGGCCTTGTAATTCTGAGTTCAGCCAACCTTATTTATGTCAACTTTATCTATTACAGTTTTTGAGATATGTCGATTTTTCTGAAAATAATTACCTCCGTTACCTCTATGTAGTATAGTTTTCAAAACACATTTATATCTCACAAACGGTTCCAAATTGGAGAAAATTAGAGTACCAAATTTCTGAAACAGTAAGCTGGAATTCCAGGCTAACTCCTGATACACCATATCAATGGTCCTTTTTATTTTATGAACAGAGTGACCCATTTGAAAGCGGCCACCCTCATCATCCTTTTATATATATGGAGCGATTTTCACGAATTTTTTTGCAAATCTAGAGAGGGGAGAAGTGTATTTTGGAATTGACAGCATCCAATTTCTTGAATAACAAATAAGACCTACTAGATCACATTCAGAAGCAGAAAAATCCAGAATTCATATTAGCGATTTTTTTGAAAAAAATCGCGTACGCCACTGGAATCAAGGTGCTCTGAAATACAGAAATGTATTTCAGAGCACCTGGGAAAAAAATCAACATTAACGAATCTACAGCTTGTCTCAGGTTAGTCGTGCGATTCGTATAAAATTTGGACCAGTATGAATAACCATCAATATGATCAGTTTTTCAAGGGCTAACATCATTTTTGACAATGCTGTTCTTTTTCATTGAAATAAAATGGGGTCGTTAAAATAGTGTATATATTGTGCCTTTTTTCCGAAAATGAAAGTTTATTGAACCTTTCCACAGGTAATTCTAATCCTTCAGGTTGGAAAAGTAGGATATATATATATATATAAGTTTAGTTTATATCAATTAGTGGTGCCCGCGAGAGTCACGTTTTCGAGAGTCTCGCATGGTCTCGTCTCGTTTTCGAGACAAGACTCGAGACGAGACTTTTATTGGTCTCGTCTCGAGTCTCGTGCAATACTTCTCGTGTCTCGTGCGAGAGTCTCGCAGGTAAATATTTCTGCATGCCGACTGCAGACTTGAGACTTTCATTCATAATACAACCTATTTAGAAAAAATTCAGACTATTTAGTACATTTCATTCATAAATATTTTAAAAACACAATCCATGATTGTTGTAAAACGACGTAATGCGTGAAACGAAAACGGACTATTCTTTCTTACTGCGGCGGAATATAAAGGCAATTCTAAAGACAAGACTTCATAGTTCATCAGCGAGACGAGACGAGACTTTATGAAAGTCTCGTCTCGTTGGTCTCGTGTGAATCACTAATATCAATGTACCAGTATTTCACCTGATGAAGCTACTGTGTTAGCGGACCATGTCATGTGTTTGAGAATTTTGTGTAAATCTTATCGTTTGTGGAGTTCTTACATTTGCTATACATTTCCATATCAAGTATATAGGCCGAGTCACTATGTTATTTATACTTACAAGACTATAAGAAAGACTCATTCCACCCCTGATACGAATTAATTCTCTGGTTTTTTAGGTTATGAGAGTGATTATTCAAAAAATATCACTACGAGGCAATCAAAGACAATAACAACAATTATATCTTATTGGTTTCGTAAATATTTATTATATTTTAATTTTTCCTGTTATTTCATCTGACAATCAATGAAAAAAAAAACATTACGAAATGACTGAAATTTTGCCAGAAAATTCATCACCAATTTACGAGGGATTGATTTTTTTGTCAAAATCCATAAATCGCACTTTATGTCAGTAACGAAGCAGTTTTGGACGTTTGTATATGGCATTTTTCAATCATATTAGCCAGTCCCTATAACCCCATAGGTCGTGATGACCAATTAACAGTAATTACTGTAGCCTCCAGAAATTAAACCAAGGTTGAATGATCTTCATTTATGCATTTCCAAGAATGTTCTTGAATTCTACTAGTCGTTACATCTAGTCTTGCCAGTCGTTTTTGTTGTTCGATCCTTGTTCTTGAAATTTGAACTTTGCTTTTGTAATATATAAGGGACTATATGTAGGTTGTAGCTATATTAGTCCAGTGCCTCCGAATTGCACAGTCTGCCCCTGATGGTGGTATTCCCAAAACCTTACCCCAATGCCAAAAAAGTTGCTTTGCCACTGAATTATTGACCATGACTTCAATTTTTCATTTACTGTTGAAAAATATATTCTGACATCTAACTCGAAAACATATTTTAGTCTGGTCATGGAATGGGCCAGAAGTGGACACCCCACTTGGAAGAGTCCGGGGTCTCTGGAAAGTCTCCTACAATGGAAAGAGATACAGCTCATTCGAGGGAATCCCTTATGCAAAGCCACCCATCGGAAATTTGAGATTTGAAGTAAGAGTTTACACCCTTCTAAAACATTCCCAAGTAGCACAAAGAGGTCATAAATCGGTTGTACAGACGTCTGCATTTGAAATTTATTCAATAAAACCATCACATACGCTGATCGTCAATGAAACCATCAAATGTTTGGTTCAAGAACTACTCAACGACTCAATAATCTATGTACAAACCACATTACAACAAATTATAGAGAATCCTTATTTCACTCTAATAAGATCTACATCGGACATGAACCTTTTGGTTGTGAAACTGGGGAATAAGTGGTCGGTTAGACGGTCTGATACGTCAAAACATGACACTTTTATGACTTCGTGCCACTTGATTTCTGTAGAGAAATAATCATTATTTGTACTGATCAGGAAGCTGTACCAATTGATCCATGGCCAGGTACCTGGAATGCTACAAAAACATCTAATCGATGCATGCAAACAAACATCACTGGAGAAGGAGAAGTTCAAGGTATATGTATGAAATATAATGTCAGTATTACGTACCTGAGCACCTGTTCTAAGTATGCTTAGTGAATTGTGTTTGAATCGTTGAAAAACGCAAAAAAAAATCATATAAGTATCAATTTCTGATTAGCAATTATCTACATCTCCATCATACAACTCCACAGTTTAGTTTGAAATTATAGTAAAAAATGAACGTGTTGTGTCAATACAGGGTGGAAACAGATATGTGTGGAAATAGGTGAATATCTCGGTAATAATTTGTTAGATTTTTTTGAATTCATGTACAGGGTGATTTCAAAACGTGGCGGATTCGAAAATGTTTCGGTTATTCTGGAATTTTCATTAACTTCCTTATTTTGAATATAACACCCTGTATTTAATATTCCCCCTGAAAAGCTGATTCCATCGATCTATCACACTTGGGGTCTAGCAGGAACGATTACATAGATATACGGTGTTAAAATCGAGATTCTTCAACTTCAGGATTTTTTTGTGTCGTTCATTATTGGTCAAAACGGCTTTCATGTCCCTATCTCAACTGTTGATTCACTATCTACTGACATTCAATTGAAACACAGACAGGGTGGTTCAAGATTTAGTATTCTGATCACCCTATGAATCTGTTCCAATTAAATGTCAGTAGATAGTAAATCAAATGTAAAGATAGGAATGAATAGTTTCGACACAAAAAAAACCTATAGTTCAGAAATCTCAATTATCAACACCCTATATCTATGTAATCATTTCCGATAGACCCCAAGTGTGATAGATCGATGAAATCAGCTTTTCAGGGAGAATCTGAAAATTCAATAAAGTACAGGCGGATGTTCCATTCAAAATAAGGAAGGTAATAAAAATTCTTGAATAACTGAAAAAGTGGCAACATCACCGATAACATTTTTGAATCCGCTCCGTTTTCAAATAACCCTGTACCTGAGTTCCAAAAATTCTAACAAACGGTTACCGATATATTTACCTGCTTCCATACATATCAGCAACCCTGTATAACAAATGGGTATAGAAGTCCCCAAAATATTTGGGTATTAAATGCTTCAATAAAATAACAACTTTTATAGGAATCAATAAAAGTAGAACTGTAATGAGAAATGAGCTATATATACATATATAATATGGTTTCTTGTTGGATAACTGCTTCTACAGTATGGATGAATTTCTTGCTTTCAATGCTTAGTAGTCTTTTTTAAATTTGACCAAGATCAAACAATGGGGAAGACCACTGAGGGAAGAAATCCGTGCAAACCTCTTTCAATCGACGAATCATGATTTACATTTCATGTACAATCAATATTATGAGTTGAAGTTGAATGGAATCGAATCTATATCGTTTTGAAATTAGCATATTTCATTCGATATTTCAAACAGCCAAATATGATGGTGGAGTCATGACGTATTAGTCCCGAACTGTAGCTATCTCTCTCTGAAACCTCGTCATTCTGCAGTGTTGCAGTGTGATTGGTCAGTTCAAGGACAATAGGCGTGTTGGGACTAAGACGTCGCACCAGTCACACCAATGAATTGATGAAATTTCAAATGGCGCAGGAATTGTGTGTTTTGAAATGGACATATACTAATTTATTTTTTTCATCGTCTTAGCATGAATGAAAAAATTCAAAATTAATTCACTAGTAGTTCTTCAGTATAGAGTTCACGATAATGTCGTTTTAAAAAATCAGTGGTCTTGCCCGCGTACATTAGTACACTGGTTTTAGCTTTCTACTCTTTTGACTAGTCCAATAAGTTTTCTCATGTATTTAGTTTTGTAATTGTGTATGTGTGAAAATTTTAGTGATGATTGAGACTAAATATTTCTATTTCTATTTCATGATATTCAGGGAATGAAGATTGCCTTTACTTGAACATATACGTCCCTGGAAAGAGAATCGTCCCATACAAAAAGTACGATGTTCTGCTACAAATACACGGAGGTGCCTACATGACAGGCAGTGGCACGGATGTGGCCGAATCTTCTTTCGTTCTTGATATGGACCTCATCTATGTCGCCATCAACTACCGACTAGGAGTTTTCGGTAAGATACGTCATTTCATAATCCAGAACTATTCTCGCCCATTTTTTAGAAAAATATCAACTGTTCAAAACGGAGAGAATAACCCACCATTATTCAAATAAAAACAACAACGAATGTAATTCAACAAAGAAGCCAAATTGTCGATTGACAGTTTCATAAGCCGTTTGTCTTCTACTTAATTCGTTTTTCAATATATCAACTAATTGGATAAATACATCAATTCGAAATTTGGCTTTGCCGTCCATTTTAGATTCGTCTGCAGCTGTAGTTGCCATTTCATCGAAGCGAATCTTCCTTATACGCTTTCGTTTCATGTCATACTGATAGGAATTACTACTACACAATTCTACAGCTTATTCAGCTTCAAACAAATCGAAGTCATCTTTAATCGAACTCAGATAATCACATAATGTGGAATAAAATGTATTGACTGTATCTAAACCAATTTTCGACGTTTGCAATTTTTTATTCATTTGATTGAATCTACCTAGAACCTTTGACCCAAAGCAGACCTTCAATATAGCTTGATTTTCCATGCATATATACTTCCAGCTTCCAATCTTGTGGTATGGTAGGACGGTAGACAAAAAATGTTAGTTTTATATTTATCCTAACAAAAGCACTCTGGGCTCGGTTCTCGTGCAGTCGTACATCGTACATGCTACGTATATTCTATATTCCGAATTTTGTAGATGCTACCATTTTTGAGATTTTTACTATTTCATGAACTATGATTCTGCGCCCCTCAAATCTTGGCGCCCGAAGCGCTCGCTTCTTTTGCTTCCTGGATAATCCGCCTCTGAGCCTGTTGTGTCCTGTGAGTACTCCTAGCCAACAGTGAGTAAACTTCCAACAACAAAAAACGGAGTAGCTAGCTTTTCGCAACCTTTCGGTCGTAAAGGCCTAACTAATCTATGGCCTAACCATCCCAAATATTCACGAGCCCTCACTGCATCATATAAATATAGGTAGGTATCACTTCAATACCAATTTCAGGCTTTTTGAGCACCGAAGACCACGTTCTACCAGGCAATAATGCCATGAAAGACCAAGTCCTCGCCATGAAGTGGGTGAAAAGCAATATCGAATTTTTTGGAGGCAATCCAGATTCCGTCACCCTTATCGGCCATTCTGCTGGGGGTTCTAGTGTCCATTTGCACACGCTGTCGCCTATGTCGAGAGGCTTGTTCCACAGGGCGTTCGCTGGCAGTGGGGTGGCGTTGAGTCCGTGGGTCATCAAGGAAAAACCAGCGGTAAGCGTAATGGAAATAACTACACCTTTTTCAATTGTAATTCAGAAAGTGTAACTTGTAATTCAGATTAGTAGAATGTGAGTCAGAAAGTGTAACTTGTAATTCCGAATAGTTAATTGTAATTCAAAAAGCGTCAATTGTAATTCAGATTAGTCAATTGTAATTCAGAATGCATAACATGTAATTCAGATTAGTGAAATGTAATTCAGAATAAAGAGTAACTTGTAATTCAGAATAGTCAATGTAATTCATAAAGCGTAATTTGTAATTCATAAATACTATGGACCTAAATGAGGGTAGGGAATATAAATCAACGTACGGGCTTATATTGAATGCCAGAGTTGAAGCATGGTGAATGGTGGTGTGTTGTGCAGCCACAGCACAATCACCTTCAACAATTGTATCTTTGGCCTGGTCAATATTCTGTTCAAGATAAACAAGTCGTTGTTCCCCAACACCTGGACCTTCAGCTTGTGGTACTCGAAGATTTACTTTTACATGACACTTTATTCTGGACCAAATTGTTTCAATTGTGTTCAACAACTGTGATGGAGCTGAACGAAGAAGCCTTGCCTCAGTTTCGCTCAGAACGTTTGCAAATCTAGAATGGTAAGGTGCATTATCGCACACAAGGACAACATCCGGTGTATAACTCGCATGTATGCTCTTACCCGAAAACACTAAATGAAAATGAGCTACTGAACTGCTATTATTACAATTACGCTGTATTGTTGCAAACATTTGTAGATTTTTAAACCTTTCGAATTTGTTTTTGTTGCAAATTATAAGCCAATGAGATATTCAAAGTTATAACAAGAAATGATTTCTGTTATTTCCACATGTACAGGGTGATTGTTTATATTTGACTCTAGCTATCTCACTTGAAAATGTCAAAATTTCAACACCTGCCTTAGATCCATACCAAAAAATGTTTATTTTTCAAAAACTGACAAAAGATAACCTCTATAAAGTATATATATTTGAACTCAGACCGTTTAGAAAGATACAGGATGTTCCATTTGAAAAATACCAGTTATAAAAAGTGTGTAGGTTTACGATACTTTTTTTGCATTTTCTAGTACTAGATTCTGAATGCCCATAAAAAATACTTCATACTTCTGCCCATCTCAACGTTCCTGTAGGAATGCTGTAGGACAAATATCAGTACTTTGACATCTGGCAACTAACTATATATGTGCTTCACTCACTCAGTCATGACATCAGTATGGTGATGAGTAGTTCATTTCGACTGTTTTGAAGAGACTGAATTCATTTGTGATTTCGAGAACTCAATTTCATTTAAAAAAAAATTGGTAAATAAAAAAATTTCAACCATATTAGTCTGATCATCAAAAATGAAAATTACAATGAAAATCATTCCACATTTTGAGTAATCATTTCACTAGTAATTTCCATTGTAATTGCAGATATTTGCTAAGAAGATGGCTGCCCTGCTAGGGTGCCCAACAGAACCTTCTCATCTTCTGAAAGATTGCCTTAAAACTCGCCCTGCCAATCACTTCATAGACAATTACAGAGAGTTCTTCGGTTATGGCCATTTACCATTTGCTCCATTTTCGCCAGTGGTGGAAAAACACTCTAGAAATCCATTTTTAACCAAACTTCCCTATGAAGCTATCAAAGATGGAGATGTGGCAGATGTGCCCTTGCTCATTTCTACTGTTAGGGACGAAGGGCTATATCCTGCTTACTGTGAGTGAATCTTGGATTTTATAACCCCATTTTCTGCCTATTCATGGTCATTTTTCTCCATACAAGTATAATCACGTGACATATGTCGATTTTTAGTTTATCAGACATGTATATTAGATTGGTTACGCTATAATTACGTAAATAATACGTGTAATTTCCAAATTGGGGAACGAATATTTGGTGCTTTCCCTTCATTCAAATGTTCCGAACTTTGCTTCTGGAAGAATTTCGACAAAAATATGTTGATAGGACTTTCAAATTCTTGAAATTGTATTATCAACTGAAGCAATAATGCACTGCTATCATATTTTGGAATAATGGTAATTGGTAATTTCTAATAGTCAACGATGTATCTAATAACATTCAGTACTATATGTATTGAGGAGTTTAGATAGTAACATTTATTATGCATAAGTATTTTTACTGTAGAGTGGGTTAATTTGTTCTAATCAAGAAACATTTATATACGCACTTGGAAATAATGAAGAGGAAATTACCAATATCTTGCAAAAATTATCACCAAAAATTGACTGAATTATCTTATAATCATACTGACGTAGGCACCTGAGTATAGTTCCTACAGAATAACTGAAGTTCTGAAAAAACTTCATCCATTCAAAGTTGCGGAAACTTTTGAATGATATTTATAAGTAGTTTTCGACATAATCATGTCGTACAGTCATCTAGAGTAAAACTGAGTAAAATTTTCACTGATAGAGTGATTATCAACGGGATTTTCACTATGAAGTTATGGAATATATCACCCATATATTATAAGTACTTAACTATTATTGAGTATATAGGTGATATAGTTTATTCAGCCTTGATACCTGTAACCTGTTACTAAATAGTTGGACAAGGATCTTCTGAAATTTCTCCCATATCATTTCCTGTTACTGTCAATAATTTATAGCGATGTTATGACTTATTTCTCTTAGATTTCCTCGATCATTTCGAAGATGTGGATCCAGTTTTTCCGGATGTTGCGCATTTCCTGTTAGACTACAATTACACATTGCCTAAAGAAAAGCGCATACAAGTTGCAAAACAAATCAAAGACCTTTATCTAGGCCCTGGGGAACAAATCAGCAACGCGACATACAAGAAATTCTTCAAGGTAATTTTCCAGCTCCTTCATTATTTGCATATCATGAAAGTGAGTGATGAATTATTTTCCAGATATTTTCGGACAGAGACTACATCGCTCCATCTGAAATGGCTGCGAAAGCTCAAGCCAAAGTTATGAGATCGCCAGTCTATTACTATTATTTTGACTATAACAGTGAGATTCTACCAACTTCGATTCTGATGACCGGGAGGGACTTAGATGGTAAGATCCATCAAGGATATACAGGGTGTCCAGAAAATAGCCTGCCAAATTTCACCAGCTGCTTCTATGATCAAAAATTGAAAGAAAAGTTTCCGAGAACATGAGTCGAGAAATGTCTCCTGAAGATGATGTTTCTTGGATAGTTCCGAAACGCCATGTAATAAAGTGATTGAATTCGGCACAAGTACGGAACTATATTGAATATTGCAAAGTTTTTTGTGTTCAAACTTTTGGATAATTTGATCTCGAATTATGAAAATCCACACCGTTCTATAGAATGGAGGTGCTCCTGATCCGTATCGATCAGATGTATCATTTTCGAGTGAAATCGACTTGAAAATATTGTTTTTCTATGGCTATAACAAAAACATAAATTGCTCTTGTTTTAATGTTTTCGATACGTATCCCGTATCTAACATCACAATGACTCCATTGTGTTATTATTTCAGAATATCTCATCGGAATGTCTCATTTCAAACAGCTCTGTCTAATAGATGAGCACTAGAAATAATTATTATAGACCCTTCAACACTCAGCCCTACTGGGAAGAAATGGTCTTGACTAACTGTCAGGAAGGCACGTTAGTGTGGTACACTGACGGTTCTAAGAATGATGAGGGTACGGGAGCCGGAATATATGGAGATAGACCTAGAACCAGGATTTGTGCTTACTTGGAGAGGTATGCTTCAGTTTTCCAGGCAGAGGTGCATGCTATTGAGGCATGTCTGAGAGAGATAAGAGGATACAGAGGTAAACAAATCCTCATATGCTTAGATAGTCAGGCGGCTATTCAATCTTTAACATGCAATGAAATCAGATCAAAACTGGTCTGAGATTGCCTTCAAAGCCAGCTAACCCTGGCTAACCACAACAAGGTAACTCTTCAATTTGTGCCAGGGCATAAGGGAATTGAAGGCAATGAAGCAGCTGACCACAATACGCGGCTGGCTGGCAAGGTGGATGCAAGAAAGACATCAGGCATACTGGAGCAATGTCCCAGGACAAAGACACAGAAAACTGATGGTTGGAACACTGTCCAAAACAGTGACTAACGACATTCTGAGCCGAAACAGAAGTCAGATCAGACAAGTGACGGGACTAATAACCGGTCACTGCCCCTTGAGGAAACATATGCATCAAATGGACATCTATACAGACGAACCCATATGCAGACTATGCAATGAGGAGGAGGAAACTGCCACTCATGTAATATTGGAGTGCGAAACATTAGCGCGTTGGAGATACAACCTTCTGGGAGCAGTAAACTCTCAAGAGGCCTTTCCAAAAAATGATTTGGTGAAGAGGCTGCTAAACCTTATCAAGGTAGCGAACCTGTTCACCTAAGTCAACAGCATGATCAGGAATACAATAGGCCCAAAGGCTGCAGTGTTTTGGGCTTCGAACCCTGACTGATCATTCTGCTATTAATCATTCAGTCAATCAATCAATAGATGAGCATTACTTGACAGAAAATCAGATTATAGCCGTAGAAAAAACTTGCCCGTAATGTTAATTTCCTACTCGAATGATTGCAGTATTCGCCTACGGCTCATGCTGCAAATGCATAGATTAACGACTCTAATCTATGGTGCTCGTTAAACAATTTACTATTGTTTTATAGTAGTGATGGAGACACTGATTAGGTACTTGGGTAGCAAGAAAGCAAGCTGAAGCCAATTGTTTTTACCTTCCACGGGAGGTCATTTTTTTTTCTTCCCGTGGTAGTAAATTGACAGGTTTGTGTCAAATGAGGGAGCAAACGCTTACTTTCGATGCAGTGAGCAGATAAACTTATTTTCCTTTCACTGTATGGAACATGAAATAAAGATCAGGAATACACGATTTCATTAGAATCAGGACATTCAAAATCTCAATAAAAGTCTCAGAAGGCTCAATATAATATGGAATTTGTATGCAGGTTATTGATTGGCATGGGTGTTTTCGATGATCTGCCAAAGTGTATGTTCCTTGACTCGTTTCTCCTCATACTTACATGTTCACCCAATATATCAAATGGTCTACCGTGTGTATGATTATAATTAAACGATCGTCATTTATTTTTCAGTTGTTTCTCATACAGGAGATACCATATACAGTCTTGGGCAAGCCATGAACGGTTTGAGATTCACAGGAGATGACAACGAAATGAAAGATAAACTACAGAACATAATTACTTATTTCGTTAAAACTGGGTAAGTTATTAATTGAGCATCATACAAGTTTCCATTGCGTGGTAATTTTTGTGGGTTTGTATAATCTCAATGTTTTCTCCTACCTAGATTTCCTTCCTTTGATGGTTGCAATACCTGGAAAAATGTAGATAAAGGCATCGATCTCACATACCTACACATTGCTGGACCAAATGATATGAAGGTAAGGAGTATCAAATCTTTGGGCAACGCTGATTTCTGGAGGCAATTTGGCCTTGGTGAAACAGAGAGAGATGTTACTCCATATGATAATTCTTTTTTTTTGCATTCGAAAAGATTTATGTACTTTAACAAAAATGAATAAAACAGAATTGCATTTCTTGGTGATGTGCTCTAATATTATATGATGTACAGTTGAATAAAGAATGTACATTTTTCGTGAACTACCTTTGTGTTTTTTATTAATTAAAGGTGTACCTATTTTCACTTGTAACACCTGGATTTGTAAAAACAGTGTTTCCATAGCAACTTTCAATAATAATTATGATTGCACTGAATCATTTCTATTGCTGCAGAAGATATAAGAAACATCCATCAACTTTAATAGATAATCAACAGTTCCATCAAGAATATATACTTGTGTACATAATTGAATAATCTCTTTCTTAATTGAAATATTGATGGTATATCCTGGATCGTGCCACCTTATTACATATTTTCAGTAATAAATCATTTGAAACCTATTATTATTTTTTTATCGGCTTCAAATGGATCAATTTTTTTCGATGACAGACAATTATGAAGACTTTATAAAATAGGAAATGATCTGAGTAGGATTCACAAAGAGACAGAGTGCATACAAGTGGATAAGTACTGTGACGTTTTCACACATTGTCAATTGTGTAGGTACCTACAATTTGGGTGAGTAGTTGACGGCTATTATCTTGAATATTCATTGTTCCAGATTATTTGGGAGTTTCTCCTCCTCGTCTCCATGAAATAAAAATATCAATATTATTTGAATATACGTGTATTGTCAACTCTTGATTTTGATCAGAAAAAGTTTCTAGGGTGTGTGTAAAATGATCACCTGAATCCAGCATATTATGTAACAGGGTGCCCTATTCAAAAAACAAAAGTTAGGGCTGTTTCCGGTTGATCCTAAAGTGATAAAACGAATAATTTTTTCATGAATGAGCAATTCGATGGGCAGATTCTATCGACCAAATTTCAATATCTGATTACACCACTGGCCGTTTTTGTGCAGTTCTCTTTATATCCATGATACAAATTTTACTTTCCACAAAATATCAGTTAGCATTTTCAAATAATTAGAAATCGATGAATTGATATTCTTTTTGATTGATTGATTGATTGTCTTTATTACCCCAAGAAACATTTCTGTTTATGATAGGGATACATAAATACATATAAAAAAATAATAATAAAGGGTTAACTATAATGAATTCCACTCAGTGGAAACGAATTAATATTGTGTCATAAGATTGAAGTTATATTTCATTCCTAAGTAATCAAATCATGCCACATATTTTTCTTTCAAATTGTCCTGAGCAAGTATTTTTTAAGATTGATTTTGAACCTTCTTGCATCATGTATATTTTTTAACTCATTCGGTAATGAATTGTATAAAATTATTCCATTGTGAAAAACAGATTGTTTGCCAATGTTTGACTTGAATGTATTTGCAATCAAGTAATTCAATTGTCTAGTCCCATAATTATGGACTGTATTGACTTCATTGAAAGCTAAATTTGATATTTTCAACTTATTCCTGGCAAAATGAATAAAGCAACATATTTTAAGTTTATATAACGAAATCAGGTTCAGAAAATGTCTTGGTTTGTATAAATTTATCGTTGGTTCTAGAAAATGTAGATGAAAAATGCACTTAATTGATTTGTTTTGTAATTTCATTAGTGGTTTCAAACGTGATATATTTGTACTCCCCCAAATAGAAATTAAATATTGCAAATTTGAATAAATGAGGCAAAAGTAAATACATTTCAAGTATTTTATGGGAATAATATTTCGGATTTTGAATAAAATGCCTATGATCGATTTACTGTAATTCATATCAAATAATAGCTAGTCAGATATAACAATTCCGCGGCAAACAAAATGGTACCTACTTTTTGAATACTGTGGAGTTTCGTTATTCTGATTGCACTAAATTTTTTGGATTGCCAATGAATCGTTTATATCCAAACACTCACTAGATATTACGAGAATGATGGACTCTGAATTTGTTCGTATTTGTATTTCTGTTATTGCGGATGACGGAATTGAAATTTGGTTGTATTCTATTTCAGGTAATTTCAATGCAAGAACCGTCTTGTAGACATCAAATATAGGTATAACTATCCCCATAAAAATTATTTCGAAACATCATCTGTTCTATTCTTATTTAAACTAGTGAATAATCAGGCTATTAACGCGAAATGATTATAAACAACGTCAACATTGTCGAAATATCGATATCAACAATAAAAATAATTGTACCGAGATAAGACAGGCATGTTCAACTAGGGCTGATAATAGCGCCTTTATTTTCTTTTGGTTTTTCTGGGTAAGTGATTGTTTATTTAGTTTGGCTGGGTGTGACTTTCAAAGTGCGAAGATTAAAAATATTTACGAATTTAAACAAATACTATCTATCAATAAATAGCTCCCTCAAAAAACGTTTATATACCGGGTGTCCCAAGTTATCGTATATACATACAGGCAATTCCTCGCGTATATTTGACAAGATAATTGAATAATTCCAAAACTGCAATGAATGGCATTGAAGTACGTTTCTCATGACATGTAAAAAAATCTATTACATTTGACAGTTCGTGGGCATCTTTCCCCCATTTTTTATTTTCAAATGGCACCCCCTGTATATTGTCATTGAAAATTTCGTGCCATCCTATAAGGAATACAACGATAGCATATACTTGGTATTTTTCATTATTATAACAAAAACAGCAACATTGAATGAAGTATGAATTTCAACTAAAATAGCTTTTATGCAAATCAAAAAATAAAGTAAAAATCACAGCAAGTGTTCAAAATTATTATGACATGAGAAGCATCGGCTTCTGAAACAAAAAAACATGAGCGGAGGCAATATTTCACTTTTGTAAGGATGATTGAGTAACTTGAAACAAGTCACAAACTGCTGATATTTTTGTTATCAATAAAAAAATACCAAGTATACGCCATCGTTGTATTCCAAATTGAGTGACACGTAATTTACAATGACAATATACAGGGGATGCCATTTGAAAATAAAATGTGGGGGTAGCTGCTAGAGAACTATCAAATATAATGGATTTTTTATATGTCATTAGGAAGGTTCTTCAATGTCATTCAATGAAGTTTGTGAATTTTCCAATTATCTACTCAATAATAAGCGAGATATTGCCGGTATACGATAACTTGGGACACCCGGTATAATATGAGAACACAAACAGCATCATTATTAGTATACAGAGAGGGTTATTACTGCAAATATTATGACTAAAAAATGTTCATATTCATCTCGATGTTCATCAATATCGAAGAAATGGATTATACCTATAGGCAATACATCATGGCAATAATATATTCATTTCGAAAATAACGTACCAAATTTTCAAATGGTATAATCATCTATACAGAGTTGAAGTGAAAGATTCCGCTAAACAAAATAAAAAAGAGAAATGTACAGTGTGAACAACTAAGAACGGCTGTCATCAATCATTTTTATAACTTTGAACGTTCGCGAAGAGCTATCATGTTGGCTAAAATTTGGCAGATACATTTCTCTATTGATCCTCGTCAAGATGACATATTATGAAAACAAATACAGATCCGAACTTGAAAAACAAAAATTTTGTATTGTTACGTCAAAAAAGTTCACTTCGTGATCACTTTTCTTGAAAAATTCCATCAGATTCAGAAAGATCAGACAAAATGCCATCAAAATTCTAGAAGAATATTATTATTCGTGAGTTTGCCTCCTGGATTTTGATTGAAGAAATAACGAAATATCTAGTATAGGCACTGTTTTTCATTGTTTGACGTGACGTGAAGTTTGTTGATAATCCGAACTGATAGGTAGGTACCAGCCTCGGTACCAGCTGATACAATTACGGCATATTGTGGTTCTGGTTCTCACGAAAAGGGATATCCTGTAATGTTCAGAGAACATCGTAAGAATAAAGGGAAATAAGGTAGGAATTGGTGTTCTTCTTGAATTTCTGGAGGTTATATGCCTCGGGGAATACCTCCCTTGGTATGTGTTCCAGAGCCTCGCTGTTCGTTGGATGAACGAGTCTTTGGAAAGAGATGTTCTGCAGGTCTCCAAAGTGACCACGAAGGGGTGCGAAGCCTCAACTCGACGGGTTAATCTCGCGGGGACTGCCAAGGGAGGAACAATTGTTGATATTTCAGCAGAGCTTCTTATTTTTTCTTAATAAACTGCTGCTAGTGATATAAGGATACATTCGCTATCACCTCATTATTCCCAATTCTCCCTCGTGCAGGTTTTACTGGTGGTGAAATCTGCTATGGTTGAACATTGCATCAATATTTGAATTTTCGTCTGGTTCAGCATTTGAAATATGAAATGGTATCTCCAGTGCAAGAATGTTCCGATTATCATTGATTACCTATCAAAAAACGCCACCCCACATGATAAAATGAAAACAGGGACTACTTCATATTCATAATAAATTCATAAAATAGAGTCACGACTAATCATATCTATCTAGAATTTCGATCGCTGAATAATGTTTCAAGTTATCAAAAAAAACAGAACAACTCTCCTCTGTCAATTTCTATTCAACAAAACTGTATAAAAAATCAATTTACATGAATCCAGTTGAAACATGACAGTTATCAGCCAGGTCAAAATTGAAAATTCATCCGAGCGTTCTTGTTTCATATTTTTTCATTGAATCGGTCAGTGTGCCATGCAAATTGAAGAGAATTTCTCATGTCATTTTGTCTGAGCTTTCTGAATCTGATGAAATGTTTTGAGAAAAGTGATCACAAAGCGAACTTTTTTGACATTACATTAATAAATGAATTTTTCCCAAGTCCGGATCTGTATATTTTTTCACAATATGCCATCTTGAATAGTTTCTATAGAGAAACATTCCTGAAATATCAGCCATCAAAATTGTTATATGGCATATATTATTCTTGATTTTTTTCATCTCTAGGAGCGCACGAAAGGAAATTCCTATAATGTACGTGGAATATCTCACGTATACCTAGGGAGAATAGGGAGGTAGATGAACTTCTTGGGAATACTTCCATTGGCAAATAACTCCAAAGCTCCGCCATTCTATAGAAGAACGAGTTGTGGTAGAGTGTTGTTCGACAATTTTCAAAGATAGCGACGACGGGATGTGCTGAATATATCTTCGTTTTGGATGGCCAAAAATGTTGT